ATCCGTGGGTGGGCAACTGCAGTCGGTGCATGGTGGGCCAATTGTGTCACTGTTTCTCTGTGTCATGATAGATCCCAATTGAGCGGCGGCAGCCGGACTAAGGGCCGGCGCATAATAGCGCTCGCCGCCGCATGGCTCCCCATGCACTGGGGGCCCACCCTCTAGGAGCCACCAGGCAGGAAGCTAGCCAGCCAGAAGGCTGGTGCTCCCTACCCGCAGCTCCCTGTACGCCGGAAGCCCTCCTTCCAGGAAACCACGAGGCCAGGAGTGAGACGGCGGTCCAAAGACCCAAAAAACCGGCGCTCCCCGCCTGAGGCTCCCCGTGCGCTGGGGGCCCACCCTCCGGGAGCCAGCAGGCAGGAAGCTAGCCAGCCAGAAGGCTGGCGCTCCCCACCCGCAGCTCCCTGTGCGCCGGAAGCCCTCCTTCTGGGGAACCACGAGGCCGGGAGTCTGGATCTCTCTTATAAACAGGATTATATAGTACTCAGTCTTTTCACAGGGTTCTTTCACTTAGCGTATTGTTTACATTCATGTGTAGTATGCATCAGTATTTATTTATTTAATGCTGAATAATAGTCTGAATGTTTTGTGGCAGTGTGAGGCACACTTCCACATGGGCTCTTGACTTACAGAAATACTCAGACGACAAAACTGCTTGGCGAACTTCACATCTAAATTATTGTCTCTTCTCCCTTCTGTAGGGTATTTCTCAACTCCATTTAAACATATCTCAAACAGAATCCAACGACCCATCTCCCATCTCTGCCAGCGTACTCCTGCCTGCCTTTTTGTGTGTGTATTAACTGAGGTTCTACAGTTTTGGCTATCATATCAAGGAGTATGTGACATTGATGTATTTTATTGCTGTTGATATTAACCTTGATCACTTGGTTGGGTGATTTATATTGGATTTCTCTGTTACCAAATTACTATTTTTCTTTCATAAATAATAAATTTCTCTGGGGAGACACTTTGAAACTATGTGATTCATCTGTCCTTAGACTTTTGCCCACTCCTTTTAGCCCTGTGACTAGATCCTGCACACAGCGATGATTCCTGTGGTATATGTCAGATGAGAATTTCCTTATTGTTTCTACATTTATTAATTTGAATTCTTTTGTAAGGAAATACTACTTCCTCATTATATTTTTATTACTTATATATATTACGGCATTACGGGTACTTATTTTGTGCTGCAAATTATGAGCTAATTATCACTGTTAATATTTGTTATTCAAACTACTCAACATTGTCTATTGGAAATCTTTCTTGTTGACCACTGTGATCGCTCAAGACCACATCCTTCCTGGAGCACCTCCTTACTTCTGGCACAATATGATGCTCTAAGCTGGGTATGGTGATGTACATCTGTAATCCCAGCACTCAGGAGGTCAAGGCAGGAGGATTGCTGTGAGTTTGAGGCCAGGATGAGCTACCTAGTAAGTTCAAAGCTCGCTTGAACTGCTTAGTGAAACCCTGTCTCAAAAAAAAAAAAAAAAAAAAATTAGGCACACAATACAATGCTCCAGAATTATATTTTCTCCATACCAGCCTTGGAACCAACCATTTCTACAAGAATCATTTAAAAATTAAACTCCTTTTGCAAATGTTGGTAAAAAATTAGAAGGCAACTTGTTCAATGCTGTGTGACTTTGTTAGTCAGCCTCTGTTACTCTGACATATCTGAGGTACCTCAGCTACAAAGAGCAGAAGTTCATTTGGCTCTGAGTATTGGTAATTTAAGTTCCAAATCAACTGGCCCTTTTACCTGGCATTAGGCAGTGCGCCATGGCGGCGAGCGTGTGATGAAGTCAAGCCTCCAACCTGTGGGGGAAGCAAAAGAGTGAAAGAGGAGGAGACTGGGCTCCCACAGTGCCCTTTGAGGGCCTGCTCCCATAACCTAACTTGGCCCAACTATTACAGTTTCCACACTTCCTAACAGCTCCAACTTGGAGACTAATTCTGTAACATATGGGCCTCTGGGGGACATTTAAGATCTAAACTATAGCATGACTTTGAACTTGTTCGCTATGTTTTGTAACTCTTCTATCTGGACTGTATTCAGGGTAATTTACTATCAATTGGGTCAGTGATTTCAATGACTTTTTGTTTACTCTTGTCTTTTTGAGACAGGGTCTCGCTATGCATTTCAGGCTGGCCTTGAGCTCACTTTGTAGCCCAAGCTGGTCTCAAACTTGCAACAATCCTCCTGCCTCAGCCTCCCGAGTGCTGGGATTACAGGCGTGAGCCACCATGCCTGGTTTCAATGACTTTTTAAAAAAACTTATTATGTTTTACTTACTCCTCACTCCTAGTATGGAGAGGGTTTCTTTTCTGTGACCTGCCCTTTTGTGAGTGTTGTCGCCATTTGCTCAGGCCTTTGGTCCCCAGCCGTCTTGTTTTCCAGCACATTCTCTACGTTCGTTCAGGTCATTTATTCTCTACTGCAGATTTTTCCATTCTTCAGTGTTCTGGTGCCTCCAGTTCTTGATGAATACTGATAATCTCTTACATACTCATTACTCCGCTAGGTGAATGGGGAGCAAGAGTTGGAAGATGTGGTCATTGTGTTTTAAGAACTCAGTATCTAGTTGAGGAGATAATTTCTATACATGGAAATAGTGAGCAGTATCAGACAATGTATAATTAAATGCTAAATTGGGTGGCACAGAGTTTTAAAAGTTAGAAGTTGGATGAAAGAAAGGAATAAAATAAGGACTTGAATTTTAAGATAAAGCTTAATTGAAGAAACACAATTCAGAGTAGGTCTTGAAACAACGTAGGCTGGAATTAGGTAGGTATTTAAAGTGAGTGGTAAGCAGGAGGAACTCGAGAGCTTGCTGAGCATCACGTGTTCAGAAAAGTCTGGGACTGTTTAATGTGTTCACGTGTTGGGGAGCAGTGGGAAGTGGAAGTATATGTGAGGAAAGGGAGGGGCTCTTCCACGTGTCTATAAAATTACTGCAAAAAGGTTGTGCGAGTAGCTTTTCATTTTGAGTTCCTCAACTCAGAAGTGTCCAGAAGCACCTTTTCTTTCCGGTGCTAGTCCGAGCTGCTTCATTACTCTGTGTATTCTGAATGCCAAGCTCTGCTCCCTGACACTGGTGCCTTTTGTGGCTGCAGTACTCACTCGCTCATTCATTCATATGCTTACCACATCCTCACAGTGTGTTTGCATGGTTAGGTCTCTTCCCAGGACACACCTTCTCTTCCCACTCACTGGCACTTCTTTCCTCCCTAGATTCTGCTTGGAACTATTTTCTATTAAAATTGTTTAAATTAAATTATATAATTTAGAATGACATACATTTATCTTCCTTTCTGTTAAGTTCTTTGAAGATTTAGCTTACATTTTAAATTTTATTGTTCTTTTTAGTACTGTCTACCACTGAGTATATACCTGGTACTGAATTAGTAGCTTTTAAGGATTAAAAAAAAGAAATTCAGGCCTTGATAATTTGTGTTATTAGAGTCACTTCTTTGTCTAAATGGGCCCACTACCTTGCCTGGCCTTGTGCAGCCCTTAGCTAATATTAGTTGAATTGTAACACATAGTGGATTCCAAATCAAAAACTATTTCTTTGCTGTTTCATGGAAAGGAGAAGATAAGAAAAAAACACTGCATCCAAGTTGTCTGGAGGGCACTCTACTGTCTTTTTTCTTTGAGCATCTCTTAAATCTGCATCCTTTAAGATACACTATTCATTTATCTTTGACATCTTTTCACTTACCACCTCATGTAGTTTTCCTAAATAATTTATGTTTGTAGATAGAGAAAAGTTGTGTATTAATTGCAGCTTAAGAGATTTGAGAAAGAGTAATCCTGGTTAAATTGTATCTAATTGGTCTGTGTTAGTACTCTTTCTGCCTGAGTTCTAAAATTTTAATGAAATATCTCACTGAAAAAGAAAAAAAATAAAATTGTGTGCTGTAAATAGAATTGAACTTAAAGACATTTGGTTTTTTCCACAAAACTAGATATTAAAATGAGTAAAGACACTGATTTCAGGAAATTGGTTCAAGTTGAAAATGACATAACATTTGTGCTGGGCTTTAAATTTATTTTAACATTTAACAACTTCGTAAAAATCTGATCTCCTTTAAAAGCTTCTAAGATGATTTGGTTGAGAATATTTTATTTATATTATTAATACCCGATTTTTTGGATGGGTATTATCATTCCTCAGAGCTGAAAAACTACAGGAACTGTCTTTAGAAATGTGCTGGTATTATCTGATCACTTTATTTTGATTTCCTCAACAGTATGTCTATCTAATCTGGAGTTAATTCGTGTGTGTGTGTTTATGTAAGCATGTGTATGGGAGCAGGGTTAGGGTAAGGGGAGGAGAGTGTGAGAGTTATTACTCGAGTAACCAAAACAAAGTAGTAAAAAAAGCAGTTATGTGTGGCAGACTGGATCATTAAGTTTATGTTGGTTTACAATTTTATTTCGAGAGATGGTGCCTTATTGACTCTTAATTTCTCAGAATGTTCTTGGTTTTTTTCTTGTTTCTTCATTCTTGTTTCTCAGAATGTTCTTGGTTTTTTTCTTGTTTTTTTCTTGTTTCTTGAGCAGTATTCTGAAGTAATGGCTTTATGTGAGTTAGAATGTTGTTAGGTGTTGACTTTTAAATTTGCTTCACAGGTTGTTTGCATTCGTTCGACTTGGAACGCGCTCTCCCCAAAGCTGAGCTGTGACAGGAGGCCTCTGATTTTGAAAACCCTGAGTGAGCTGTTTTCTCTGGTTCCTTCTTTAACTGTCAATACAGCAGAGTATGAGGTATGCAATGGAAGCGTAACAAATTGCCTGTCTTTAAATTAGAAAGATGTAGGACATCACAACTTCTTTAGAAATAAACATTTATAATGTTTAACAGAAATTCTTCAGCAATTTTTATTCTGAGAACATGTTGATGTCTTTATGAACCACTAGAAATAGGAAGATATATGCCCTTATATCTGAATCTGTGTGCCTTATGAACATAAAGGTTACCAAGTTTTATGACAGTATATAGTCAAGATTTTAAAATGTATGTTTTTAGAAGTTCTTCTAAAATAATAGAATTTGTTAGACTAGTGATTTAAAATAATTTTGTTAATGTTTTAAGATCTAAAGAATAAGTCATGAAAAATTTAATGAAGGCAGGATGGTTCTGCCAATTTCATGAATTCCTCAGTGTTTGCCATTTCAATGTCACTCTTGATGGGAGACTCTTTGCTATAGATTTGTATATTGCTACTTAATACTTGCTATATGATCTCTTCTTGGAGTGAAATGAGCCAGAGGATGGCAAATGACATTTATGTCTCTACTTTTGAAGTTACATTCTCTTTCATTTGCACCTTCGTTGCTTTTCCTTCACAGAGCAGCAAGTGACTTTCACTTGAAGACTTGCTGAATTTTTAGTTTGATTTAGTGATTCACAGCCTTTAAGAAACTATCACACCATAAGATCCTACTCCTAGTTCTTTCTATATTTTAGATCACGTGATTAGAATTATAGGAAAATATTTCTTCTAATTCTAATGCTCTATAGTGAGTAAGATCAATTTGTCTTTTCTGAAGTTAGATAGTAGTGTTTGACACCTAATATATATTTGGTAAGTAATTATTGAATAAATGACAAAACCGATAAAAGTATCTTGAGTTTATTCTCATGTGTAGGTTTTTCTTAGAGGGTATTAAAAAAAGAATTGATTTCTGACTCCTAGAGTATATAGTTCATCAACAAGGTTTTTATTTTTATTTTTATGGCTGTACGTCATGGGTGCTTGTCAGAGAACCTGCAGGGTTACTAAGGAGCTAAGATAGACAACTCAAATAAGGGCATATTGTATGTACTTATATTCTGTCTTTAAGAGGTGAAAGTATATACCTCTGTTTTGCTTGTACTTACAGATTTTACTACAGGTTAACTTATGAAGTAGTTTTTTTATTAGTTTCTTATATTTGCTCATCCATGGATGTGAATTGTCTTTTGGACTAGATTTTTTTGCAGAGTTTACATTCCTCTGATTGACTTTCAGGCCTAGGTATTATTAAGCCTCCTCTGTTGTTCAGACAGACAGCTTTGGGACAGTTTCACCCCTCTCCTCATTCCCAGTCAAGAGGACAAAAGTGAGGAAGTGTTAGAGGAAAGACTCCCCCCTCTCTTTTCGGTCCTCCCTTCTCTCTTGTTTTCTCCTTTCCACCCTACTCTCTGGACTTCCCTCTGTCCTCCTGTCCTTCAGTCTGTCCTTCCTTCTCTTCTTATCTGTGTTTAGATAATTTGTTGTTATTTTTTTAACTGCTGAGAGCTTACTTGGATATCCAGAGTTACAGTAGGTTTTCCCAAAGCATTTCTGGCCCTAGTCACATCAGTGCCTCATGTTCAGCTAAAATGAGCCAGTAGCCCTTAAACAACCTACACCCTGCATTCCAGATAAATGAAGTCATTTCTCATTTCCCTGTGTTCCTTCAAACTTTTGCTTCTTTTCTTTTGTTCATGTTGTCCCCTCTGTCTAGACATCTTTTTACCTCTAAATTTTAAATCTATTTTAGGAAATAATTGTTTTACCTCATTTCATCCTTTGAAAATTTGTAAGCCAGAGTCTACTGCTCTTGAAGTTCTTTATCCCATTTTAAGAGCTTTATTTCTATATTACACTATAGGGATATGAATACCTATATTATTTTCTTCACTAACCAATAACTTGTTAAAAACAGCACCCATGATTCAATTACAGTTTAGTTTTTGAATTGCTTTGCACTGTATCTGGTATATTTATTCATTGACTCTGAATATATTAATGAAAACTGTACTAGGCCTTGGAAATACTAATTAATAATACATAACACATACTATGTTTTGAATTCCTATTAAATTCCCAATACTTTCCTGGTTACTTTGAACTGATTAGTACTAAAATCTGATGGGAAGTTTTAAAAAAAATTTATTTTATAGCTAAAAATAATACTGAGGCCTACCCATTTATTAAACCAATATTTACTGGATATCCAATCTGTGTCAGTCAAGTAATTTAACCAAGATTGTAGTGACTAAGTGAAAGCTAGTGTCTGAAACCAGGACTTTCTAGCTGTATACCCTGTATTTTCTTATGATATCATGTTGAGAACGTCCAGAAGTTCAAAGGTTGGTAAAGGAGATAGATGTGAGCAATGGTACTTACAACATTTGATGGTTACAGTTAATTAAAGGTCATTGAGTATTAAAAAAAAGAAAAAAAAAAAAAGGTCATTGAGTATGGTGGAGGAAGTGAAATCCCTTTAGGAGGAAGCAAAAGAAGCCTTAGTCATTAGAGCAAAATGTTGCAAAATTATTGTAATGCTGCTTCCCACTTAAGCTTGAAGAGTAGGATATATAAAGTCAAGAAGATATAGAGGAACCATGTATAATTTACAAGGGCAAGAAGTTAAAAGAAGTTACCAAAATGAAAGAGTCTGTGAGTCTTGGAAGATAAATACCTTTTTATACTCAATTGGTTATTTATTAAATATTTGCCATTTTTATGGGGCTGTGTTCTGTGTCTTTCAAATGAAAAAAGACACAGTTGCTGCCCTGAGAATACATTGTAGTAAATAATACCAGATGGTAAAGTGTAGCACATACCGTATGGCTGTTCAGAGAAAAGTAAACTCTGTTTTTGGTAGGAAATTAGGAGCAGTGGCATGAAAGAATGGCATTTGTAATAGCACTTGAAGGGTCAGTAAGAAGTGGTTAGTTTTCTAGATTTAATAATCTTAAAATTTTGATGAGTTTAAATTATCAGTGTTTTTAGATGATACATCTATTTCTGAGTATTTTCATCTTATGAATGATAGGTAAACACAGATTGAGTTAATACTGATATAAGCTTAAAAGTAATTTGATTTCTATTATTTATTACGTCAGCTTTCTTATTCGTAGGTTTTAACTTTGTCTTAAAACTTTTCTTCTTGTGTTTCTTGATTTTTCAGAATTTTAAAGTTCAGGTGCTCAGCTTCCTCTGGACTCATACTCAAGACAAGGTACTAACCCAATGGGTGCAGTAAATCAGAAGAAAGCTGGGGAAAGAATCATGAAAAAGACTCTTAAAAAAGTAACTCTTTTGCAATGATGGCTTGTAGGCTAAACAAAATGTATAAGTTTAGATTTTTATAAAAATTATTCTCAATTTATGCTCATTAATACTTTTTTTTTAGTACCAGGTATCAAACTCAGGACTTTGTGGCTTGCCATTCTGGTTGCTGTGCCACTGAGCTATATCCCTGGTCCTCATTAATACATTTTCACTATAAAGTACACTTAGTTTTCGGGGGGACATCTGACAGATGTGAAGAAGAAATGCAGGCATTGCCTCATATTTTATATGGTCCTTTTTCTTTCTTACTTTGACTTTTCCCTACCAACAGACATACCAGACCAACAGGCTGGCCCAGACTTTTGGTGTCATTTCTAATGGAGGATAAAGAAGACAGTGTTGATGCTGCTATACCTGACTCATAAGTCCATCAGTGTAGAGTCCAAATGGTTGCCTTGTACTGTTTAATGGGTAGAGAACCAGAATCCAGACCCAAACATGTCCAGTTCTGAATCCTTGTGCTCCTTCTGCTAAACCACGTTTCCTCATCAGATCCCGAGCAGTTTTGAGTTGCTTTATGTGCAGCGTCCAAATCAGGATTGAAGCATGTTGTCTCTGACCTTTTTGCCCAGTGCTATTTTCTGTCTCTTCTTATTTGGGGTATGTTCTCCAAAAGATATTTTTGGCTGAGAACTTTTCCTGCTTGTCCTGACTTCTCTCTTTGGGCCTTTTTACTCTTCTCCCTATAATATTTTCTGCTGAAATGAAGTTAAAGTTGCTTGATTTCACTTCTGAAATTTATAGTAAATGTCTTTTTGACCGAAGCAAGACTTGAGTACCATTTCCAAAGAGTATTGACTATAGAACTGTGGGGCTGGTGAGGGAAGATTCTCTTTCCTCTTCCAGATCTGAGATTTAATATATTTTTAATTTGTTTGTTTACTTTTCTTTTATCCTCTGTAGGACCCACTTGTAGCAAATGCTGCATATAAATCTCTGTCCCACTTTAGTGCAGGAGAACACACCATCTTTCATCTACCTGAAAAGGTAGGCAGACCAGCTTTTTCACTCCATCTCTGTATTTTGCTGTTGTTTGACTTTATGCCCACACTTAGAAGAGTCTTACTTGATGGTCTGTGTAACCCTAGATATATTGCTCATATAAGATAAAAATTCGTATTCATTATTTGTTTAATGTGTAAAACACTTTAGAGGTCTTAGACTTCATAGATCATGAATTTAAATCTCTTAGAAGCAGACAGAAGACAGCTGTGGTGCAAATGAAGTTTCCTAAGGTGACTGATAGATACCTTGGTCCAGAAAATCTGTGCTAATGTAGGAACCACTTTTTTGCCAAGTGATCATATCCTCTTGGACTTCAAATCCAAGTGTAGCCTGTGTAGACAAAGATTTTCTATCACCTGTATAACCAACAAGTTTTATTTGGATTGAAAAAAAAAAAAAAATGAATGCAGCTGTGTGAGGTGTAGAGCTTAAGGCAGTCCAGGGCTGCTTTTTTAGCGGGCGTCTACAGACCTTTTTAAATCTTCCCACAAGTCAGTTTAAAGGCTCCTAAGCCACACTGTCAGATACGGTCACAGCAATAGCCCCAGTACTGTGGTACCAAAATCTTGTTGTTGAGACAAAATAGCCAACACCCAAAGTTAAAGTAGGAAAGGTTTATTTGACTAGAGGTTTCAGTCTGTAGTCAATTGGTTCCAAGGCAATGTGGCATGGCAGAGAAGCATAGCAGAGCAGGCAGGAGGAAGCAGAAGACACGCAGCAGCAGAAGTGTTAGCAGCAATAACTGCAGCAACCCTCCTTCTGTCCCTTATATTCCATCCAGGCTACCTAGCCTTAGGGTGGGTAGCACTTATTCTTGGTTGGAGCACCCTTAATCCCAGCATCACATCCTTAATTCAATCATCAGACACCCTAGATCTAGCCATGTTTGAAAAGTGCCACCTACTACCATATGAAGCTTTGGGAGGACATCTAAATTGAACTGTAACAATTAGCTAGAAACTCCCGGAGATCAAACGGCAATAATGTTTGCTATGAATTTCTTGCTATCCTCAGGCATTAGAGGATAGCTTTTTCTTCTGAATTGAGTTTATACAGAGATTAGATGTCAGTAGGAACCTGGCAAACATCTATTTACTGAGTTGAATTGGAGCCATTAAGTAAAACCAAATCTGAAGTAAAACAGAATTTTCTATACTGTAGAGGGCTCACAAAGACAGATTTCCTCATTTGTCATACAGTGCTTATAAGTGGGAAGGCTTAAGTAAATGTGTTTTATAATATATAATTTAAAAGATATGATTTCAAGCTCTGCTATAGGTACTAATAATACCAATAGCTACTTATGAAAAGAAAAAGGAAAAAAAAGTTGTATAAATTTGGTATGCAAACTCCTACCAAGAGATTAGCTATAGCACTTTGAGAGATACCTTGTTTATGATTATTTCTAACACACAATTGCTTATTTAAATCATGACATGATAACTACCTTTATTTTTAGCAATTATTGCTGAAATATTCCAGCTGGAGCAATAGCTTTTATTAAATCTTATATTCTCTTGATTGCTTATTCTTTAATTCTTTAAGTATTGACATAACTATAGGATTATATTCAGTTTCTGAATGTGTTTGTTGCAGTTTTACTTGGTTAAGTGCTATTCTAAGTCAAATGTGAGCAACTGTACTTTGTTACTCTCTACCTCTTCTTACCAAAAATAGTTGAACAGGCATAACTATTTCTTCATACTTTACAGCACAGTTAGTAGTTATATACTTAGAGTTAGGATTGCTTTTTACTCTTGGGTCTTTACCACCAGTGTGGAAAGAACTAGAAAGAACCCTATATGGCTTACCCTTGCTAGGCAAGCACTGTGCCACGGAGAACTAGAAAGAACCCTATATGGCTTATCCTCTTTACCATGTTTGGATAGTTTTTGATCCTAATCTCCTTCTGAGATGTGTGCTTCTCCCCAGAGTGGCCGCCTCTCACTCTTGTGAATATACTCAGCTGCGGTTGCATGGAGAGGGTGTAAGTGGTGGGAATCCTTCCCCACTCTGACCCCAGCTTCTGATACAGAGGACCTGTCTGCTCGTGGAGATTCATTGCTTCTGACACTGCCTGCTGCTTTTCATTGATTACCATTTTCAGTTTGGTTGTTTGGATGTCTAAAGATTAAATGTATAGGGGCCGGAGATACAGCTCCATGGCACAGTGCTTGCCTAGCAAGGGCAAGGTCCTGAGTTTGATTCCCAGTACCAAAAAAAAAAAAAAAAAGATTTAACGTGTAGAAAGTGGTCAATGTGTTCATATCCTTAATAAGTCCCAACAGGCTAAGGATACAACCAGGTCAGTATTCCACTTCTGTTTTGTGGGTGCTGGGAATGATATGGAATGGAGATGCATTTGAATAAAAGTGTATTTTCAAATGTTTCTAGAGTTTCTTTTAAGTAAGGACTTACATTAATGTAAAGTCTAAGATTTTTTCTTTATTGTGAGAAATTACTCATTCTGTACCAAGGGGCAGTTGACTTACAAGATTTAAGGTTAGTGTATACTTTTCCAGTGAAATTGCCCTGATATCCTCTCCACTTGTGGCAACTTGTGAGCTACACTTTTGAGCCCATTGTGAATTTCAGAATTATAAAAAAAGAGGCATAGCAAGTCCTTGTAAAAGGGGCTGCCTTTGTGAATTATAATTTAGCTACCTTTGTAAGTATAACATTTTAAAACATTTACTTAGGAAATATTTTTTGTTGATTGTTGAACATAACACTGTATAAATTGCAAGTTAACAAGTAGAACCAGAGGAGTAAGGGAAATGACAGCCATCAGAAGGAAGATATAAATGTGGATGACAGTACATCTAAAGTAAGATGGAAAGCTCAGTGGAGAGTGGCTCCCTGAGACATCACCGGAGAGAGGGATTTGGTACCAAACTCACTAACTCTTTCGTGCCACTGGTTGGTTGTTACGGTGTGTGGGCCTCGAGGTGATGGACACTGGCACAGCAGTTTTATTATTGGAAATACGACCTGGGGATATTGATACTGAATGAAAGCATATGTGTTGTTATTTTGTAATAGTATCATTGTTAATCACTTAAAATTCAAATCTAAAGTTGGTTCAGAAGTTCAGGAGGACTTCTTTGAGGACCTGGTGATTATAATGTAGAAAAATAGACAAGAATGATTTTTTGCTTTTAACTTTTATTTCTTTTGTTCTTTTTAGCTACTTACCACTCTCTGCCTTCCTTAGCATCTCCTATTCCAAAAAAGAAAAGGAAAATCTAATCAAACAAGCTATACAGAACTGTTTTCTGATAAAATAATCAGCAGTGGATAAACATTTAGATAGAAGAGAATAATTCTTGTCCCTGAGTTGAATTCATTAAAAAATATTTGGCTATTTAAAAATTAAACTTTCTTATTATAGATATCTTAACATGATTGTTTTGTTGATTTCTGGGGTTAATTTTAGAAGAAATGTAAAATGCATTATGCATCCAGGGTTAGTATAAACATGGTGTAACCTGTTTAGCTTTGATTTAAGTGAATGTCACTGCATTCATCAGAAGCCGATTTCTTTTTAACTGAATTTGTGCAGATACTTGACATGTTCCAAATTAAAATCCTCTTGTTTATGCAGAGACTCTTGGATTTTCTTAGGCTATCCACACAGAAAGGTGGTTGAAAGGTTATCTGGCTCAGAACCCACAGTGAGGCATTTTGTAAGCTAATCTTTCTAGTGTTCAGTTTGAAGCAGATTTTAAAAACTGATTTGTCATCATATATCTGGCTTTCCATTTAAGTTTTTTCAACAAAGCTTAACTACAATTGGAAGGGCTTTGTTGCGCAAGTGTGTTTGAAATATATGTGCAGCTTTTCATGGGTGCCTTAGTAGCTACAATTGCCCAAATTTTCAAACATTGACAGGTGTTCTTTCATGTAAATTTTCTTGATTCTCCCTAGTTGTACTCACATTACATTTATCCAGTCATTGCACGCAGCTCAAGGGAAAAGACGGATGTTATCATAGGAAAGGTAGAAGAAACTCTTTAAACAGGTAACAGAGGAGAAGAGAAAAGTCTAATAAAACCAAAAGGAACCAAAGAAGTACTGATTTGTCCAGAGGAATCAGCTAACCTTTGAGGGAATAAAATTGAAGAGGTGATCATATCATTATAATATAAGTATGTAGAGTTTGCTGGGCGTGGCGGTGCACGTGCCTGTAATCCCAGGACTCAAGAGGCTGAGGCAGGAGGATTGTTGCAAGTTCGAGACCAGCCTAGGCTACAAAGTGAGCTCACTGCCAACCTGAACTGCGTAGCAAGACTGTGTCTCAAAGAAGGCAAAAAGAAAAATGCAAAAAAACCCACAACTCCCCCCAAAATCCTCCAGTTTATTTTATAGCTGAGTAATAAATACTCCATTGTATAAAAATATCACATCTTTTTTATCCATTCCTCACTTGATAGACATTTGGGTCATTTCCAAGATTTTGCTATGACAAATCGTGCTGCTGTAAACATGGGTACACATATATTGCTGTGGTATGACGTTTTAACTTCTTCCGGGAAAATACCCAGAAGGGGAATAGCTGGGTTAAATGGGACTTCTAATCCTAATTTTTTGAGGAATCTCCAGACTGTTTTCCAAAGTGGTTGCACCAGTCTACATGGCCATCAACAGTGAAGAAGCGTTCTTTTTTCCCCACAGCTCCTCCAGCATTTGTTATTGGTTGATTTCTCAATGATAGCCATTCTTACTGGGGTGAGGTAGAATCTCAGTGTTGTTTTAATTTGCATCTCTCCGGTGACCAGTGATATTGAACATTTTTTCATGTGTTTATTTGCTATTCGTATTTCTTCATGTGAGAAGTGCGTATTCATCTCAGATGCCCATTTTGGATGGGGTCTTTGAATTTGGGGGGGTCTGAGTTTTTTCAATTCTTTACATGTTCTAACTATAAGTCCTTTGTCTGAGGGACAGTTAGCTAAAATGTTTTCTCACTCTGTGGGTTGCCT